GGTGGGAGGGAATCGACCGTAAAGTGCTTGGAATGGAGACATCCCAATAGCTGAATGAACACAAGAGTTATAATGTAATTTTGCCCAACATAAAAACAGTGACCATCTTTGATGTTGTTCAGAACAAAAGCACGTAGATACTGTTCCAAGTAACAGTTGGTAACTTCGGATTGGCCATCCGTTTGTGGGTTATAACTGGAACTAGCCTTGAGTTTAGTGCTACTCAATGAGAACAGTTTCTGCCAACAATTACTCATAAAAATTGGATCTCTATCTGATACCAAAGAACGAGGGAATCCATGCAATTTCACTACATATTCACAAAAAAATTTGGCTACTGTAGCTACTGTGTAGGAAGAAGGTAGGCCAATGAAGTGAGCATACTTTGATGATCGATCCACAACTACCAAAATTGTAGCTAGCCCATTTGAAATTGGCAAGCTGGTTATAAAATCTAGTGTGAGGTCTTCGAATACAGCTTCTAAGATTGGAAGAGGTTGCAACAGGCCCAAGGGTGATGAAGTGCTTGTTTTAATCTGTTGACAGATGACACATTCCCTAACAAAGTGTGTAAAATCCCTTCGCATGTTTTTCCAATGGAATGAGGCAGACAACCGAAGGAAAGTTCGAAGAGAACCTACATGGCCACCTAAAGGAGTTGAATGTGCTTCCTCTATAAGCTCAAATTTCAAAGAAGAGACCAAAGTTAAGTGAAATCTGCCTTTATGATAAACAATGCCATCTCTGCAAGTAAAAGAATTGTCAGCCAAAGTTCCATTATTAATTTGCTGATGTAATGAGATCAGCTCAGGATCTTGTGAATTTTCAACTCTTATACGATCAATGAGATCGAATTGAGGTTATGAAATGAGAGCAAATAAAGAGCTCTTAGTTGTCTCCTCAAATTGTCTAGATAAAGCATCTGCTACTACATTAGAGGAGCCAGGTTTATACTCTTCTTTTCAAGAAAATACCACTTCATCTTGAACCAATACTATACTCTTCTGGTTCTAAACCTTGACATATTATTGTGACATTATTGGTCTAAGAAATGTTATGTAGCTTTTATTCTGGTAATTTGTTTTGTTTCTTGAATGTGGTTTCACTTTTCATTCTCTTTGTACTTTGAAGTGGAAGATATTAATAAAATTTTGTGATGTGTTCTTACATTCTAGAAAACATGGTTTTAGCTTTATTTTGTGATTGCGATTCGAAGCTCAGTTTTTTTTTCAAGAAATTTTTTTGGGGATAATATGAAAACAACGTCCACTCGTTGAATTCAATTTTATAATTTACAAAATTGAATTTTATTTACCAAAAAGAAAAGGACTATTTTATGCTCACATAATTCCCTTCTAACGTTGACATTGAAAGTTAAAGGTGGTGAGGCAGTATTTGCCTCTTTTTGAGATTGAGCTCGGCTTCTCTTGCCGAGGCTCTTTAGTTTTGACTAGGCTTATTGTCATTCTTTATAAGTTTTAGGACGACGTTTCGTGCCTCCTTAATAATTAACCCAACTTTTCACTCCCTGTCTTTAAGTGTCGTGGTTTCAGATTGGCTCGGTTTCGCATACCGAGATCTCTATTAGCATGTATTTGACCTTTTGCAAAGGTGTATTGTACTTTAAGGAGCACGACTTTCTTACTGCGACTTCCACCACTTTGTTGCCAAATTCTTGAATATTAGCCTGACATCATATGCCGCCTCAATTTTTCTTTTATCTCAAATTGGGGTGTGATCTTTTTCCAAGATCACGATCTCTCCAAATTCGTCTTCTCGGATTCGGGTGTGATCCTTTTGCTAGAATCACATCTTTCCAATTCCGTCTTCATCATTATCTCATATCGAAGTGTGATCCTTTTGCTAGGATCACATCTCTCCAAGTCCATCTTCATTTTTATCGTGGGTTGGGGTGTAATTCTTTTTCTAGGATCACATCTCTCCAATTTCATCTTTTTTTTCGGATCGGGGTGTGATCCTTTTGCTAGGATCACATCTCTCCTTTTCTGTCTTCATTTTGATCTCGGAGCCTGAAGCTATGGCTAAGGCTGAGTTGAAGCTCAATGCCAGGGTCAAGCTTTAATCTTGAAGCACTTGGTTGGGCTGAGTTGGAGCTCAAGGCTGAGGCTGAGCTATTAAACTTAAAGTCATTAGTTGGGCTGAGTTGATGCTCTAGGCTAAGGCCGAACTTTTAAACTTTAAGCCCTTCGTTGGGCTGAGATGATGCTCAAGGCCGAGGCTGAGCTTTTAAACTTTAAACCCTTCGCTGGACTGACTTGATAATCATGAAGCCCTTCACTGGGCTGAGATGAAGCTCAAGGCTGAGGTCGAGCTTTAATCTTGAAGCCCTTCACTGGGATGAGTTGGAGCTCAAGGCTGAGGTCGAGCTTTTAAACTTGAAGCCCTATACTGGGCTAAGTTGATGATAATGAAGCCCTTCACTGGGCCGAGTTGGAGCTCAAGGCCAAGGCTGAGCTATTAAACTTAAAGCCCTTTATTGGGCTGAGCTAAAGACCGAGACTGAGCGAATAAATTTGAAACCCTTAGTTGGGCTGAGTTGATGCTCAAGGCCAAGGCTGAGCTATTAAACTTAAAGCCCTTTGTTAGGTTGAGCTCAAGGCTGAGACTGAGCTAATAAATTTGAAACCCTTAGTTGGGCTTAGTTGAAGCTCAAAGCAGATGCAGAGCTAATAATCATGAAGCCCTTCACTAGGCTGAGTTGAAGGTCAAGACTGAGGCCAAGCTGATAATCATAAAGCCCTTCAATGGGCTAAGTTGGAGCTCAAGGCTGAGGCTGAATAATTAAACTTAAAGCCCTTAGTTGGGCTGAGTTGAAGATCTAGGCTAAGGTCAAACTTTTAAACTTTAAGTCCTTAGCTGGGCTGAGATGAAGCTCAAAGCTGAGGCCGAGCTTTTAAACTTTAAGCCCTTTATTGGGCTGAGTTGATAATCATGAAGCCCTACACAGGGTTGAGTTGAAGCTCAAGCCTGAGGCCGAGCTTTAATCTTGAAGCCCTTCACTGGGTTGAGTTGGAGCTCAAGGTCGAGGCTGAGCTTTTAAACTTGAATCCCTTCGCTGGGATGAGCTCATGGCTGAGGCTGAACTTTTAATCTTGAATCCCTTCGTTGGGATGAGCTCAAGGCTGAGGCCGAGCTCTTAAATTTGAAGCCATTGGTGGCCTTTTTTATGTAAACCAGGCTTTTTACGCCGTGGTTTTTTAATTCGAGTCCCGCTTCTTTTGTGGAGGCTTTTTTTTATCTGAACCTTGCTTTTTATGCGGTAATCTTTTAATTTGAGTCTCGTTTCTTTTGTGAAGGCTTTTTTATCTGAACCCGGCTTTTACACCATGGTCTTTTAATTTGAGCCCTGCTTTTGCGAAGGCTTTTTTATCTGAACCCGGCTTTGTACGCCGTGGTCTTTTAATTTGAGCCTCGCTTCTTTCGCGGAGGCTTTTTAATCTGAACCCGGCTCTCTACGCCGTGGTCTTTTAATTTGAGCCTTACTTCTTTCGTAGAGGCTTTTTTATCTGAACCCAGCTTTTTACGCCGTGGTCTTTTAATTTGAGCCCCGTTTCTTTCGTGGAGGCTTTTTTATTTGAACTCGGTTTTTTACGCCGTGGTTTTTTAATTTGAGTCATGTTTCTTTCGCAGAGGATTTTTTATCTGAACCTGACTTTTTACACCGTCGTCTTTTAATTTGATCCCCGTTTCTTTCACGGAGGCTTTTTAATCTGAACCCGGCTTTCTACGCCGTGGTCTTTTAATTTGAGTGCTGCTTCTTTCGCGGAGGTTTTTTTATCTGAACCCGACTTTTTACGCCGTGGTCTTTTAATTTGAGTCCTGCTTCTTTCGCGGAGGCTTTTTTATCCGAACCCGGCTTTCTACGCCGTGGTACTTTTAATTTGAGCCCTCTTTCTTTCATGGAGGCTTTTTTTATCTTAACCCAGCTTTTTATGTCGTGGTCTTTTAATTTGAGTGTCGCTTCTTTCGCGAAGGCTTTTTTTATCTGAACCCGACTTTTTACGCCGTGGTCTTTTAATTTGAGTCTTGCTTCTTTCGTGGAGGCTTTTTTATCCGAACTCGTCTTTCTACGCCGTGGTCTTTTAATTTGTGCCTTATTTCTTTCGTGGAGGCTTTTTTTATCTTAACCCGGCTTTTTATGCCATGGTCTTTTAATTTGAGCCCAGCTTCTTTCGCGATGGCCTTATTATCTAAACTCGGCTTCTTACGCCGTGGTTTTCTTATTTTGAACCCCGCTTTATTCGCGGTGGGTTTTTAATTTAAGGTTGGCCTGTTAAACTTGAAGCCCTTGGCTAGGCTGAGCTCAAGGATGAGGCCGAGCTAATAAAATTGAAGCCTTTAGCTGAGTTGAGTTGAAGCTCAAGGTTAATGTCGAGCTTTTAAATTTGAAGCCTTTAGCTGGGCTGAGTTAAAGCTCTTAGCTGATATCGAGCTTTTAAACTTGAAGCATTTAGCTGGGCTGAGTTGGAGTTCATGGTTGAGGCTGAGCTATTAAACTTAAAGCCCTTAGTTGGGTTGAGTTGAAGCTCTGGGCTAAAGCCGTACTTTTAAACTTTTAGCCCTTCATGGGGCTGAGATGCTGCTCAAAGCCTAGGCCAAGCTTTTAAATTTTAAGCCCTTCGTTGGGCTGAGATGATGATCAAGGCCTAGGCCAAGTTTTTAAATTTTAAGCCCTTCGTTGGGCTAAGATGATGCTCAAGGCTGAGGCCGAGCTTTTAAATTTTAAGTCCTCTTTTGGATTGAAGATGGGTTATTAACGGTCTGCCAGTTCTGTAGCCCACAAAATTTGGGATGACACTTCCTTTAATAAAGAATTCAAAATTCTCATGTACCTTTTTCCTTATGATTTAATGACCTATAGGTCTTCACTTGCTTCATCAATAATAAAATTTGGGACTTGCTTGGATCTAGAGCTCCATTCTAGAGTCTCTCGGATGATCAAAATCCCTTTTTGCGATAGGGTTGGTCTCCTCATATATATGTACTTTCAGCAATTTCAGGGTCGCAAGGCAGCCTGCAATCAGTGGCTTCACGTTATGCCACGCGAGTTTACCATTGATGGGAGTCAAAATTTGTCGTTTCCCACAGACGGCGCCAATGTTCGGTCCTAGAGAACCGTATAATAATACCGTAAGGTATGCGCTCAGAGATATCCTATGGATAGGTTTCTTGGTTGGCTTATAGCCAATATCCCAATCACTGCGCGCAAGCAATGGGCTTATAGCCAAGTGTGGGCAGAAGTAGTAAATGAGTTCAGAGTGTGTACCTGGGGTCTTTATCCTCTTATTTATAAGGATTACCTTCATAGGCTTGGGCCTTTGAGATCTCCCAGTTGATATGAAATTTGCCTTAATTGATGGGGATAGGGATCTTATCCGTTGATCCTCTCTAAATTATAAAGTTGTGATATCTGTTGGTCTTGTTAAAGAGTATGCAAGATATGCGCAAGTATACGCAGCCACAAGTAATATAGGGTTCTTAAGTCCTAGTTATCGTTCCCCGAAGGATCTTTTGGCGAAAAGTTCAAAAGTAAAATTGCAATTGCTTAGACTAAATTTCTGAAAAGAAAATAATAATAAAAATAACATAAACACAAAACTAATCTGAAATAGCACTGACCACGTTACTATTTTTTTTAGAATTTTCTGAATTAATTTCTTGAGCTAAAGGATGAAAAATAGTAGGAAATGAAGTTAAGAAATGTTTTGTTTAAGGTTTGATGTAAAATTTTTTATAAAAAATCGTAAAAACAGAAAGAAGAGTAAATTCTAAATCAGGGAAAAATAAATGTTCATTTTCTAGGGTTGCTCCATTCTTTTTGCAAGTAGTTATTTGTAAAATTGAATAATATAATTTTATCTTGGTAAAGTTAGACTTAGACGTGCTAGACTAATTGATGGAAGATTAATTTTGGTATGTCCACCGTTCATGGACCCGAAAATGGGTCGTGGCAAGAAGCAGTAATCCTGATCATTAATAGATTATACGTAAATAGTTAAAATTAAATTTTACTTAAATGTCAATGTCTTTTTAAAAAAATCGCTATTTCACATACATTTATGTTGTTCTAATTGTTCTTGTAAAATATAATGATCGAGTCACCTCCCACGCTAAATACTCCGGTAAAAGTCATTAATTCACAAAAAGAATGTGGAGACACTTTATGGTATAGAGTTCATACCTTGTGAGGGAAATTAATCCCCACTTGAATTGTAATCACAACTCTAATCGCATGTGTTTGGGAAGAGAGAGATTATCAAAAAAATTAAAATTTATGAAGAGAGAAATAGGCTTTTTGACCCTTTTACCCTTTATTAATTAATTAATAACTATTTTGTCCTTTACGCAAAACTACCTCCAACCTGCCCCTTTTTAATCTATTAACTTGAATATTTAATCGATTAAATAGTCAAAACACGCAAAAATAGTTTACTCGAGGTTTAATCGATTAAATATCTCTTTTAATCGATTAAGAGGAAAATTTAATCGATTAAATATCCCAAATGAGCGTGAAAACATTGATTGAATGAGACAATCAAGGAAAACTCGCTGCTTCACATCCTTTTGGTACCTAGAGCTGCTTCCGACATGTCTAAAGTGTTACAAGTTGAACTTGAAGCTGAAGAGGAGAAGGTGCAGGAATTGCTCGAGAAACAAGACCAGAGGTTTGGTTTGTTCAACAAGGAATTTGCCAAACGCCATGGGCTGCACTTGTTAGGAACCACAAGTACTTGGTTCTTATTGGACATTGCCTTCTATAGCCAAAACCTTTTCCAAAAGGACATTTTCAGTGCCATTGGATGGATCCCTGCTGCAAAAGAAATGAATGCAATCCATGAGGTTTATAGGATTGCAAGAGCACGAACACTTATAGCACTATGTAGTATTGTGCCAAGTTACTGGTTCACAGTGGCCATTATTGATTACATGGGCCGTTTCACGATCCAATTAATGGGTTTCTTCTTCATGACCGTTTTCATGTTTGCTCTTGCTATACCTTATGATCACTGGACCAAGAAAGAAAACAATATTGGGTTTGTTGTGATGTATTCCCTCACCTTCTTCTTCGCCAATTTTGGGCCAAATGCCATTATATTTGTTGTGCCAGCAAGTTTTCCTCTCATTCAATCAATGCTTTCACATTCATTTGAGATATTTAATCGATTAAATATAAATTGTAATCGATAAATATTCCTCTTAATCGATTAAAAGGGATATTTAATCGATTAAACCTCGGATCAACCATTTTTGCGTATTTTGATCATTTAATCGATTAAATATTCAAGTTAATCGATTAAAGAGGGGAAGGTTGGTGGATAGTTTTGGGTAAGAGGAAAAATAGTTATTAAAGCTCGGATCAACCATCAGGTTCTGGTCCTGGACCAGATGCTGTAACTGGCTATATAGGAGATGATGTAGACGCATGGTAGGGAGGTGGAGTGACATCTGTAGGCTGAAATGGTTTCCAATCTGGCATCGAATCTGGATCCCAACACATTTGCTCCATCAAGTCGTCAACATCTCCATGTGACCACGGCTGGTAATCTTGAGTGCTAGTCTCAGCCTGTCTGGTTGGCACGTAACCAGGTGCGCTGTGGACTGGACTAGCATGATACACTGGCTAACTCTGGGAGTCCATGGGTGGACCATGTGTACCTGTCTGTGAAGGGAAAAATGGCACATCCTGATGGTGAAGATGATCATAATAAATGGGCTGCGAATCATATGTCTGCCCCATCATGGGGGGCCTGAAGTATCCGGCCATATCCATGCGTGGCCTAGGCGCATGTATAGGCTCCGGAAGTGGTACCACTGGCTCTCGACGACGTCCTAGCCCTCGTCCCTCCCGTCTATGTGTAAGAATGTCAAGAGATATCTGAGGCTCATCTTGTGTCTGGGCCGGGGGAGCCTGTGATCCTGGCTCCTCCACCCTGGAGGACTCTCTGAATACATAAATTAAGCGCCCAATCTCCTCATGAACCCTGTCTAAACCGAAGGTCTCAAAATGCTCAGGAGTAATCGCGAAGTAAAGCATCTCCAGACCATCAATCTATAATAAAAATAAATAAGCGCAAATAACGCATATATTTAATAAGACAATGTTAATAAATGAAAAAACTAAGAGTGTAATAGACTTTAGAAAACATACACTGCGTCGAATCTTCGCCGCCCTCCTAGATATATAACGCTTGCCTCGGAGCTGATACCAATCCATATACTCATGGTTTGGTGACATCAGCCTAGCCAATAGGGGGCAGCTGACCTATGTGCTGAGCCCTTATCTGCCATCTATGTATGTATGGTCTGAGCTTAACTTGCCAGTTATCAGGCCATTTACCTCGAAGTGTGTGATCATGAACCCCTTTGAGCTTTCTAGGCCTCAAAGGTATCGGCTGGTCCAAACCAAACTGTCTCAAGCATCTATCTGGTTGGCACTGCTCAACCGTATGAAAACATATTATCGGTGTCCTAGCCAACCAAAGATATCGCTCATCTGCAGGTATGTCCAAGAAATGATAGTCCCCGTACGGCTGCCAAACAACCTACAAAAAATATGATGAATTTCCATAACGTATGATTTTGGCAACAAAAGAAAATAATAATCATAATTTCTCCAAAAAAATATAACATACCTCGTCCCTAGTCAACGTGTCTAGCGTCCCCCGATATAGAAGCTGATGTTGTGGTTTAATGCAGGCTAAACCATTAAACCTGTTAGGCAAAATGAAACAAATGGAAGATTATTAATAATTTGTTACAGATAAATTAAAGTATAATTCTTATACAAATGACACATGTCGGTGCCCGAAGTTCCATTCTGGGTGAGTAGGCTGAGGAAGAAGAGGAGCAAATGGTGGAAACCTGGTCCACGCCCATATCTACAGCAGTATATGACACCCACCCATGTCTGATCTGCGCAGGTCAGTAATCTCGCACAATTGTCTAAACAAATGTGCGAGAACAACTGATCCCCAACTGTATTGACCAATGTCATTAAATTCTCCTGCAAGCAACGCAATGTAGCGACATCCGACGATGCTACCTCCAGATTTGTCACAGAGAAGCCATGATCCCAACATACACGCAATGTGTGCCTTAGTAAAAAATATAACCTGCTGTGGATCCGCAGCAACTGCACCCAAATGCGCATAATGTCTGTCTAAATATGCGAGTTTGACATCCCCGTACGGCTACTCTGAAACGAGCGGGGCGTGACCAAGCACCTCCTGGCACAGGACTCGCCAGTTCGTGGATGTAGCACCCGTAACCACTTTCCCATTTGTCGGCAATCCCAATATAGCCGCAACATCCTGCAGTAATGGTCATCTCGCCTTGCGTCATGTGGAACGCATGTGTCTCTGGTCTCCACCTCTACCAGAGCACTGAGCAGCACGGGATCAATCTGAAATAAATGCAGACATTTATTATCAAAATAAATTTGCTTAAGCATACGCTAAGTTTTTCACATTTATTATTAAATTAAAAGTCTCATGACCGGTACTTCTTATATGCGTACCTAAATATGCCGCATGCGGGCAACATGTAGGAAGCCAGCCTGCTGCAGGTAGTCTGCCACGACATCGGGAATATCATTAGGAGATGGCCCCCCTGCATCTTTCCACGTTTAGTCTTGCACTGGCGACACTTCTCCTCGTTCCACACAACCTGTGAAACATGTGCGCGCTGCGTGCGCCTCCTAAGTACGTCCCACCTGTATGGTCCTGGAAGCACGTGGGTCTTGGGATCCGAAGGCTCGCCCTGAGCCTCAGTATCGGATGTAGACCGAGGTGACTCCGACGATGACGAGTCAGCCATAATAGTGTACTATACACAATAATAAATTAACTGGTTTCATTAATATATTCAAAAGTCATTACATTAATTACATGTGTTACCAAAATTAACTAATTACATGTGTTACAAAAAATATTTAATTACATGTGTTAAAAAAATATTAAATTACATTGCCTACAAAAAATATTTAATTAAATGTGTACAATATTCCTAGTTCACTAATATATTCCACAGTCACTATTGTATTCCACAGTCACTATTATATTCCTAAGTCACTATTATATTCCTAGGGTTTAGGACACTACTTTAAGATATTTCTAGATCACTATAATAACAATTAAATGCGCAACACTAAATTACTATTATAACATGCATAATATTATATTTAAAAAATTAATAAAACAGATATGAAGACTTATTTGTTCGATAGGGCTTCGCCGCGCAAAATGCTCCACAAATAATCTAGAGAGAAGGCAGACCAACTTTAGAGAGAAGTTAGAGAGAAGGTGTGAGATGGAAAAGTGAAATTTTTGGGGGTTTTATAGGCCAAGCAATTCACGCCTGGATTGGGCGTGAATTGTCACGCGTACTTTGGGCGTAAATTTCATGTAATTCCTGCCTAACTTGGGCGTGAATTGTCCTGCCCATTTTGGGCGTGAGTGACGGCAATAAATTCGAACATAGTTTTCAAACTGCAACCTATTCGTAATTAATTATTAAAAATGTAATATTTTAATTTTTTTTTCCTAAGCGGATTGTGTAACTATACAAAGCATTAGATTAAATTTAAAATAGTTATTTAATGAATTTAAAATTAAATGAAAATCATTGATCATAAAACCTTCAGAATCTTAGAATTTTTCTTAATTATAAGAAAATCAACTAACGTGATAACTCGAATTACTAACTGATACACGTGATTAGTCCTATCTTGCATGTTTAAATAGTGGACGATATTTCTTTAACCCAAAAATTGATTGTGATTGGGATCTCATATTATCTTTTTGAAATTATAAATTGAATGATAAAAGTTACTGATTGAGTAATAAAAAATTATAAATTTTATGCGTTTATAATTTTATTAGTTCGTGTAAAATATTTGATACAAAATTTATATTAAAAAATATGATATTTCTTTTTTATTAAGAGTGTTGCTGTAAGTCTCCCTTAGAATGCTAATGGACGTTCCATCAACAGTCTCCTTTCATGTTTAATTTCAAACAATTGCAACATTGAGAACGGGGAGGTGGCAAGGCACCTAATCCAAAATCTAATTGTGATTAATGCAATGATTAGGACATTCCATCAACATAACATAATTTGTATCGTACATCATAAAAAGGAGAATTCTGAGTTTATTTTTAGTGATGGAAAATGTACCGTTAGTAGAGTTGCGAGTCCAATATGTAACCCAAAATTACGGGTGTAATAGTCACTATAGGGAGGTCAACGTTAGCAAAGGTATAGACCAAGCTAAGCGATGATGTCCCAGGAGCGATACAAAACGATTGGAGTGGGAAGGGGTGTATTGGTGTGTGAGGAGGGTTACTATGGCTCTTGGGTGCAGCAGGTAAGACATATGTGTTGAAGATATCTCTGCTATATGAGGACGGGGATATTTATAGGAGGAGATGATGCCTTGCCTGTGTGGGAAAGTGAGCCAAATCAACTTTTCTGGGAAAGGGTGCCAAATGCCATGGCATGCATCTTGCAACCCTTGTTATGCTTGCAAGTTGGAATAGAGGCTAAAGCTGTAGCTGTGAATAGGAGAGTACCTATATCAACGGAAGGTAGCAGCCCACGTAACACATTCTTGTGTCTTGCGTTGGAGGATTCTGTTTTATAGGGGCAATGGTAGCAGGAGTGGTGTAGTAGGGCTGACGTAGACGATTCTTTTGGAGTTGGGCCTACATTGTTGGGCTAATCTATTTGAGGTATCCAGAACAGAATCCAAGGATAACGTGTTGTGTTATAAGCAAAGAAAAATGATCCTTGTGAAAATGATTTTGGGACAAAACTTTCATTCCTTCCCCCGCCCCCTCTTTTGTTTCCTTCAAAAAAACTTAGTCTAATGCCGCGGAGAATAAAGATGACACCAATTCGTAGAACCCAGGGTCAAGAGAGGATTAATAAGGCTTTTCTAAATGACGTTGCATGCAAGGTCACATCACAGTATCACATGACGGCTATTGACGTTGGCAAACTTGGCAAAAGGTTGTTGAGGTTTTTTTACTTTTTAGTTTTTTTCACTGTGACTTCTCTATTTTATGAAGTTCAAATTCTTTTCTTTTAAATATCCTTGCTGTAAAGAATACCAATGCAAAGGAATAATGGCTCTTGTATCATCAGTTCTAATGCAATTGCCGTCTGAGCCAAAATCAATCCTTTTCTTTTCTATTTTGTGCTTCATAAGTGTTATTATGTTCATGCTTAAGCTCAAAAGAAAAAACAATTACAATCTGCCTCCATCCCCACCAAAGCTGCCAATTATTGGAAATCTTCATCAACTAGGCACACTCCCGCACCGCTCCTTTCAAACACTCTCTAAAAAGTATGGCCCTCTCATGTTGTTGCAGCTTGGACAAACAAAAACTCTTGTGGTTTCGTCGGCGGATATGGCCAGAGAAATAACAAAAACACATGATGTTGCTTTCTCCAACAGGCCTGAGTCTACAGCTGCTAAATTCTTACTCTATGGATACAAGGATATTGGTTTTGCACCGTACGGCGAAGAGTGGAGACAAAAAAAGAAGATATGTGTTCTTGAGCTTCTGAGCCAGAAAGGGTGGGATCTTTTCACTCTGACAGACAAGAAGAAGTTGCAGAATTGGTTGACACTATACGTGAAGCATGCACGAGTAAAAAGTCCTTTGTGAATCTGAGTGAGATGTTATATGCAGCCTCAAACAATATAGTCTCTAGATGTGTTCTAGGACAAAAATATGATACTCCAGATGGTACTACAAGCATTGGACAACAATATAGTCACCACGATTTGAATCGGTTTATAAACACCCCTAATTGTAAATGTAACCCTTCTTATATAAATATATAATATATGGTTGATGTATTTAAAAACTTGTGCACAACATACACAATCATTCATCCTAGCCTATATATATATATATAAGGAAAAAATATTTTTACAGTCACTTTAGATAAAAGTTATTTACAGCTACCCAAAAATTATGTCATTTTAATTAATGAAGCGTGTTTCTGTAATTTTAAGTGAATTAATAAAGAGTGTTTTAGTAAAATTCATATGATAAACAAAATTATGGAAACACCCTTCATTAATTCACCTAAAATTACAGAAACACTCTTCATTAATCAAAACGACATAGTTTTTGGGGTAGCTATAGATAACCTTATATAAAGTAGCTGTAGATGTGTATATATATATGTATATAATAGATATATATATGTATATAATAGATATATATATATATATATATATATATATATATATATATATATATATATATAACGACATAGTTTCGGGCATAAAATGACGTCGTTTTGGGCTGACCGGAGATAGATATATCTCAAGCTCCTTGTGAAATATAAACATAAAAAACGACGTAGTTTAGGGTTGACCGGAGATAAATATATCTCAAGCTGCCTTGAGAAATATTTTCTCATACATACATACATATATATATATAGGTAAAGGATTTCTCCAGTCAATGAAGATAAATTATCTCCGGTGAGCCCAAAACGACGTCGTTTTATAGCAAAAATCAAGGTATTTTGTAATTTTAATATATTGCAGGGTTATATTAGTCTTTATCATTATAATTTTTTATAACCCCAAAATGACGTCATTTTGAGCTCACTAGAGATAACTTTATCTCCGATGACTGGAGAAATACTTTTCCCCATATATACATGGGAGTGGATTCTCTCATGTGAAAAAGTGGTCATGTGGTCATGTTATTTGATCACAACCACTCATTGATGATGAGATAAGAGAGAGAAAAGTGTAAAATTTTTAAATGAGTGGTTGTGATCAAATAACATGACCATTTTTTCACATGAGAGGATCCACTCCCTATATATATATATATATATATATATATATATAGGAATGATTTGTTTACAAATTTTCTTACAAATTGCACTAAGTATGACCAGTCATACACTCTTGATTGAAGTATGACCGGTCAGACATAATGTAGTTCATCAATTATTTGACTAATCTGGTTTGAGCTCAACCTCTACTTTATATACATACTTTAGGATATTCTATTAATACATTTTCATAGTTAGGCAGAAAACGGTTTATCTATGTTAAAGACTATGTACACTACGGCTGTTCATCAACCGGCGAAACCGATTCAAACCGCGATAACCGAACCGAAAAAATGAAAACCGAATTAACCGAAAACCAAAAAACCAAAAAAAAGCGCAAAATTTAATTGGATTGGACCGGATTTTGGATGGGTTGATGAAAACTTATCTAATGATTTCCCAACCTTACCATCTACATACTTGGGTCTTTCCCCAATCATAGTCCGAAAATCATATAGCAAAATTCTAAATCCAATACCCATTAACCCATCATATTGGAGAAAGTGGGTTGTGCTTGATCTATGTTTTGCTTTTTTTTTGTAAGATACATAATATATTTTTACTACATAGGTTATCGTTGTACAACAGCTCCTCTATAGGATGAAAATTTGGGCTATTTCGTATCTCAGACAACCATATTATAATTTTTTTTTGGAAGTAAACGATGATAATTTAACTTTTTGTTGTACAATGCTTCTAGATTGCACAATAATCATCATACAAACTTTACAAAGCCGATATATACAAAAGATATGTTATTTGCACAATAATCATTCTACATGTAACATCCCACGTAATTAGGAAAATACACAAAATACCTTAAGGATAAGAATGCACGAGTGGAAAAATTAAATTTGATATATATATATATATATATATATATATATATATATATATATATATATATATATATCTATGTATTATTTGTTGGCCTTCGAAATTATTGTGAACTAGTATAGGATTAAAACTAAGTTAGGAAATTATTTAAGTATAGTATTAAATGAAGATTTATTTTAGACTTGGGAAACTTTAATCCTAAAGTATAAGAATATATATAAATTATAACATAGGAAAGAAAAGAAAACATGGTGTTACTAGGGCTATGTTGGATCGAAAATCTCATAGGTTAGTGTCTAAGTTAAAAGTTATTTTGGGCTGCACATGTTAGCCCTCATTCCTTGTCTTGGCCGAAGCAAGAAGGCCTTAGGAGGCACAATTTGATCAACCCAAATTCCCTACAAGCTGTCCAAATTTTTATCTTATCCTAGTAATTCCACAAGGTCACTTTCTATTGGGTAGTATCTGAAAGTTGGAAATTGGCCTTGAAGGCCGATGCATGCTGGAGGGAAAAACAAAACTTTTTCATTGCGGAACACATGCATTCAAGATCATGCTTTAGGAAAGCATGATGTTACCTTGTTCGTGAAAACTCGTGATGATCAAGGTAGGTCTGAAGGGTTCAGACCCTCTAACGTTGATCCACACCACCCACTGCGTCTAGGTGCAAGAACTCCTTCTTGTGAAACCGCCAAGTGATCACTACAATGAGGCTTTCCAAGCGCACACTGTGTGAAGAGAAAGGCTAGGTAAAAATGTTTGAAAGAGTGAAGCTTTCAATGTGAAAAACTTCACAAAAGTGGCGCAGGAGAGGAGAAGAGAATAGCTTGGTTGGTTTTCTAAAAACCCTAGAAGGAACATGTATGAAGAGGCGCACAAGAGGAGCCTATTTGTTAAAAACAAATCAGATTTTTAATCAAAATAAAAATCCCTTCCAAAAGGGCGCTCCATCAAAGAGAGAGAGAATAGGATTTGTTGCAAATCAAATCTCATTAAATCTTGCCAACAACATCCTATCATATCTTTATGATATATTAGGTTCAAAACCTAATCAAATATCTGATCATAAATCATCATATAATCAGTTATATGGTGCGCCCCATATAGCCTAAATAATGACCAGATACATTTGAGTAGTTGCATTCAAACTTGAATCAAATCACTCAAATATTCTCCCAACAGATCGTATCTTCTGGAGCTTATTCTGATGACTAACCAACAGCCAAATCAGCACCCCAAATCTTCTTAGATTATGTCCAAAAGATTTCCTCTTGATATGTTCCAACAAGATCTTATCTTATCCTTTTGTTATGAAACAACTTTTCATAGCCAATTCAAATTTCAAACATTTGAATTCAAACTTTCAAACACTTAAATTTTAAATTCAAATTCAAATTCTAAATTCAAATTTCAAAATTCAAAATTCAAATTTCAAATTTCAAAATTCAAATTCAAAATTCAAAATTCAAAATTCAAATTTCAAATTCAAAATTCAAATTCAAAATTAAAAATTCAAAATTAGAATTTCAAATTTCAAATTCAAAATTCAAAATTTTAACATTTGATAATTAATTTAACTAATTAAATTAATTAGTAATGACTTGGACTATCCAAACTCATTACAATGATCCATGCGCCCTCCACCCCTTTAGGTGGAGTTCCAAACAACTTCTTGGGCTAATAACTATTATTAGGCCCAATACCTTTAATGCTAGAGCATCTAGACAATTAGGTGTTTGCGTGTGACCCATTAGGTCTAACATAGCCACTGACATAAATGAGCCTGGGCCCAATAAGCCCACAACCCATCTAATGACAACACAGAGCACTAGCAATGCTTTGTTACCCCAGAACTAGTTAGATTAATGATTTGATCATCCTATTAAACATATTTGGTTGCCGTATATATTTCCTTTCGTCTCGGTTACCTTCCCATAAAACCTAGGGTAAGGAAGCGTATCAACCCCTGCGGTTTAGGGTAAGCTTTATTCGAAATAGGGAATCTTCAATTTACAGACTCTAAAGACAGATCATCTCATGATCTCTTTTACTATGCATAGATTCCCGAGTCCCTGTAAATGTCATCCCGATTTCTCCGGTTTACAGATAACCTAATCTCTCACAGATATTTGACGAATTCCTTTAGCTTATCACCCTAGCCCTGTGTTCTTTCAGGACAAGCCCAACAGTATACCTCTGAGTCTCTATGTTTCAGGCAGACGAGGTGCACAATCAAAGCATGTCTTCTAGAACACAGTCTAGGTAATAACTTCTGGTCTTAGGAAAGACATACCCAAATATAAAGAGACTACTCTAATGATACTCTCTGTGAGAGTTCCTCGTAGAGTCTCTTTGTGGGTCTGTTCAGTGCGAGCTATACCCTTATAGGTCCACCCACGACTTTAGCTAAGACATCTCCATATCTGTAGCACATGAGGTCTATACCTTGTATCCATATACAAGTAGATAAGTCGTGCTAGTCTTACCCGAGATTACTGACCCCATTCTCAGTATCTCTAGACTATGAACATAAAATTAGGAATAAACATCTGGTATTCTTGAATCCTCATGATTGTGATCTCATCACAGATACTCAAGAGATACCTATTTTATTCCACGGGGTTTATCAAGTTATTCATAATATATTAACATTAATATCGAGACAGAATTATGAAACAAGATAAAGAGTGCTTTTATTTATTTGCGACAATATTAAAAAGGTCTACATCTATGTCCTTATTTAATCATAAGATTGTCTCTAGGACACCCAAATACTAACAAACTCCCACTTGACCTAGAGCCAATCAGCCCTAAGTCGTATACCCAAAGCCTCATAATGACTATCATGTTTCCTCTGAGAAACAGCCTTTGTCAGAGAATCGGCCAGGTTATCATCTGTGGGAACATAATCCATCTTTACATCCATTCTATCAATGATTTCTCTAATCAGGTGATATCTACGGAGCAC